TTTATAAAATATAGAAAGTCAAATAGTTATAGTTAATTATATTTTATTTGAGATTTAAATAATGGAACTAAACGTTTACCTCGTTATTAAGATATTTATAAAATTACTGGCATGACATTTTATAATTTTGTTTAACCATTAACTCGGCCTCTAATGTTGTTAAAGCAATTCGATTTCTCCCCCTTTCTCCAGGCAGTCCACATCAGGCTAAAAATGCGCTCCGATGAGGCATTAGAATAAGGTAAGGAGAAAACATACTCGCAAATTTTTTCCAAGCATGGGGATTTATCGTTATTACTAAAAAATTCCACACATTTCTCCTCTGCTTTTAGACCATCTAACTTTAAGTATTCTGGAGAATCATAAAAAATGGAAAAAATTACAATCTCTTCAAACAAGGCTTCAATGTCTATCGGTAATTTTAATATATTTATTAAATTACAAAAACCATCAAATGATGGTTTCTGTTCCAAGCAGAGTTGTACATTTGCTCAAAATAAAATTAGATCTTTGAAGATCGTAAAATTTGAAGATCTTTTATTTTTTAAAAATTTTGTGTAACGATCTTCAAAGATTTAGATCTTTGAAGATCGCTGCGATTAACGATCTTCAAAGATCTTCATGATATTTATTTTTTTACCCCTTTATTAAAAGCCCAGATGTTTTTAAATTTTATTAATATAATATTTCTTTTATGTTTTATACCTCTCCTCCTGCCTTGATGAAAATTGAAAAACATCTTGGCTTTTAATAAAGGGGTAAAAAAATAAATATCATAGATCGTTACACAAAATTTTTAAAAAATAAAAGATCTTCAAATTTTACGATCTTCAAAGATCTTGCTCAAATTTTTGAGCTAGATCTCGCTCAAAAATCTTCAAAGAAGATCTTCATAATATTTAAACATTTGTAAATAGAGTTATTAAAATCAAATTTTGATTGTAAATATTCTAAAATTGTCTTAATAAAAATTTCTGCTTCATTTAAAAATGTATTAATTAGAGTATTATTTGAACATTTTAATATAATATTTTTAGCAATAGCGCCATAAAATTTATTATCTATTTTTAACTGTAGAGATGAACAGAGCTGTAGCATGATTTTGTGAATCTTTATCAATAAAGAATCTTCTGATTGCAACTGAATATTAACTACATGAAGTAGATTTCCTACATGTGAAACTAATCCCAAATATGCTTCTGACATTTCATCCTCGAAAAAATTTTTCAAAATTTTAGGACAGTTTTTAAAATCTTTATTTAAGAAAAGTATTTCTTTAAGGGTTCGTAAAATTTTAAAATTCTCTTGATGGCAGGTATAACGATATAAAATATATTAAGTAATTTAAAATATATTTATAATAATTATACATACTGTTCTAACTTCTATTCTTTCTAACACAAAAATTTTGAAAATGTCGAGTGGAGAATTGGAGAATTTTATAAAAAATATATTTTAGAGCGGAAAAATAAAATAAAAGAACTAGACATATTTTAGACATATTTTTCGAATAAATATTTAAAATTTATTTTAAAAATATAAAAATAATCAAATACTGTCTCTCAAAATTATTATTTATATATTAAAAACATTAAAATGCTAAAAAAAAATTGTGGGAGAAATTAAAAAATTGTGGGAGCTTTTTGTGGGAGATTTCTAATTGTGGGAGTTTTGTGGGAGTGAGATGTATGTGGATAAACTAAAAAATTGTGGGAGACTCCCACTGATGGGGGGAGACATGGCAACCCTGTTCAGGGTCCGGGTTCGGGTTCACATCTCTGTCATAAAGAGTTTTTTAAATTATGCAAAATCATCCTAACTGCTTCAACAACAGCAAGTCCAGAATGGGGATTTTTATCATCAAATAGAATCAAATTTTATGTAGAAACCTGATGAGTCAAAATCTAATATCTGATTTATCATTGATTTCAATTGAAAAAAAATTATTAAAAAACTTAAACTCCAGTAATATCCTATATAATTTAGTATTTGAAAGTTAATGATTAAAAAAAAGATTCCGCTTATTAGAAATCTTAATTTTTTGTATGATTTGATTTTTTTTAAAATAGAAGTTTTTCCTTTGCTATCTTAATAGTAAACTTGACGCTTCGTTACTGATATATATAAACGTTATTGTGTTCATTCTTAAAACATTTTTATTTCAAGGTGTTCACATTATTAATGTCCTACCATAAAAGGTAAATTTCTAAAATTAAATTATAGTAAAGTCCGATTTTATTTATTTCGCGTGGATTGTAAGAGTCATATTATTATTATATATATGTCTTTTTGAATTATGAAATCCTCGGGAATTCGGAAATATAATTAAATAATCTACTGAGGAAGATTTGAAAAAAGGATTGATTAGAACTGTATACCAGCACGTGTAGTGCACCTATTGACAAATAATATATATATATATATAGATAATGATAAATGTAAAATTGTTGCTCTAATTCTCTTCGTATTCCCAATAACATTATTTATTTGAACTAAATGTTCAAGAATAGAAAACGTGATTAAATATATAATGATCTCTTCTCGAACTCAAATTGTGGGCAACGTCCCATTAAAAATTTAACTGTCACAAAATTTTACAATAAATTGGACAATGTTTATCATATTATCTTTTATAAAAAAAAAATCAAAGAAAAAATAAATAGTAATTATTTACATTAACTGATATTACATTTTACTAAAATATAAATTATTGGAAAACGTTCATAAATATTAATTACAGACTGACAGATTCATTACATGAATTTCAGATAATTTTCACATTTCTCATCAAAATTTTTCAAATTCACAATGCGGGTATTCTATATTATATTAGAATACATATCCGATTAGCCCATATTTTTCAAAATTTTAAATTGCCCTCATCAAAAGATTCCAAATCCCGGATTCCATATTTTAATTTAAAATATGCAATATAATTAGTGCTGTAAACATTTCTAAAAATATCGAAAGCGTTCTCGTTCAACGTTCATTGACAAAATTCGAACACGTTCATGTTAGCGTTCACTTTCAAAAAAAAGGAACGCGTTCACGTTTGTTCAAAATTTTATGATAAATTTTTTTTCAAATTTAATTTAATATAAATAAATATCTTATATTTTTTAACGCAATATATTACCCATGTTAAAAAATAATAGAGTTTTATTTGATAATATAATTTTAAATACAATGTAATATAACGAATAAATATATTTTTATTAATAAAAATTTTTTAAAATTCATCTGGTAGAAAGGAATGCTTGGCAGTTAATACGGCATTAGCTATACTAAAGAAAGCGCTATACAGGGGCAGGAGGGGATTGCGGTATTATACTTAATAAATAACTCTTTTAACGTGGGGAATTTATAAAAAACATTTATTGTTTTGTCCTTTGCTTCAAAAAATTGAGATAAGTTATCCTCCTCCAATCTATCTTCTACTTCCTCGTCAAAAAAAAGAATATCTCGAAATTAACAGTTTTCGCATTATCATTTATAGGGTTTTCAATGCATTTTTTCAATAACACTATAAGTTTATTTTTTATAAGTTCGTTCTGTGGAAGTTTTATCAATGACGATTATAGTTTGAATACTGGATGTATAATTGCAGAAAGAATATGGATCTGTTCAAATCTTCAAAAATATATGTAATTAATTTGATAGTATCCTTTAATACTGCGCCTACAATGATATATATAACTATAGATTGACGATCATGCATAAAAAAACGTCCACCTATTGAAATCAGCTGTAGCGCCATTTTGTAGCTTGTACGTTGATCAAATGCCTCAATAATAATAATAAATTTTAAAAATTTAACAATTTTATATCTAATAATTTGTTAATAATGTAATTATGTAAAATAATTAAATGAATCCTAACCTCAACTGATCTTCAATTAAATTACATTGGTATTCTCTAAAATAAAAAAAACTCAACATTTAATACAATAATACATAATATCATTAAATTACTTTCACCCAGAAATTATTCAGAAACATAGATTGCTACAATATCACTGAAGCAAAAATCACCAAAATTATACCCATACAAATTATTCCATACTTATATCCAATACACCCTCAAATATTCAACCAAATAAGGTCCACTGCCTATATATAATTGCCAAAAAAACTTATCACACAGATTCCTTTGACTCAATCAAGAAAATACTTCTTTCAATCATAGTTTTAAGTTAATTTATCTACTTGATATATTATTATAAAAATAAATTTATTTTTAAACATTCCTCAACCATTTAACCCCCAATCATTTATTAGAAAGTCTAATTTATTTTATACATATTAATTGCAAATATCAAAATCATTTATTTTTTTATATATATTTGTTAATTTTTCTAATAAAATTAGTTTTTATAGCTTATCAAATTCACTTGATGTTTCAAAAAAAATCTTACTATCCACTTATTGTTCATTTATGGAATCCTTATTATTAAATATAATAATATTTTATGATTCATATCTTATTAATAAATAAAAATGATGCACCGATATTTATTGTAGTTGCTGGTACTTTTAATTTTAGGTAAGTAATTTATACCTTAAAATAATAATCAAAATTTATATAAAAGATCTGTATAGATATAATTAAATAAAATCTACAAATTTTGTTTTACTAATAAGAGAAATCAATGTTAATTTTTTTCTTACTTTTTTAACCTATTTTTATTTTTATTTTGTATTTATTAATTTTATTATAAAGGATGAACCAAAGATATACTCTAAAAGTAGATGAAGATCAATTAATTACGTTAAGAAAATAAGATTTTATATAAAAATATCCTGTCAATTAAAAATTTTTTTGGATTATGTGTTCTAGATGAAATAAGTTAAACCATCTTAAAAGATGGGTTGAGAGCTCATCTCACTTAATTTTTATTGTAATAATCATTTATAATTTTTTTTGTTTTAATTATTTCATCTTAATTATAAATGACAAATGAAAACATCTTTTATTTTTTTTCAATAAAAACATAGTGTAATAATAACATTTTTTGCATGAGTATAAATTATTATATAAATCATTTAAATAAGGTTTATACAAAATATATAAAAATATAAATGTGTACACTTTAAAAAACAAAATGTATTTTTAATAATGTGATGATTCACATTCATATTATCTTTGATTATAAACATTCATTCTTTTTGATTCTATCATCACCTATAAAAAATAAAAAATATTTACATTAGCATAGATTATATATAATATCATAATTTTTATAATATGTCTTATATCAGGCCTGTTCTTTATACAATATAATTTTTAAAAAATAAAAGAAGATATAAATATTAATTTACATGACTTAATGATTATTAAATTGTATTGCTTTTGTAAGATTTTGCCTCATACCAGTTCTCAATTCCTGGTTTCTCAAGTCAGCAAAATGAAAAAATCTAATATTTAAATATCTTTAAAAAAAATAGTATTAAAACTAATAAATGATTACCTTTGAACAATTAATTTTACAAGAATTTGAAAATGGCTGTAACCAATCTCATCATTAATATGTTCAGTAAGATCAATAAAAATATTTGTACCAATTATTGTGGAAAAAACCAACACTTCCATTTTTTTAATAATATTTTTACGTTTAATATCATTTTGATAAGTTCTAAATGAACTTTCACAAATTCTGCATGACATACTAGAAGAAGGAATCACTAACCCCCCATTATTTTTAAAATTTATGAGCATATTATTTATATTATTATCAATATATGAATCACTGACCATTGCATTAATGCAAACATCACATCGTACCTTTTTTTCTTTAATAAGTTGTTGTACTATATATCCCGAAATATAAGTTGTTAAATTATCTAAATATAATGATAATTTCGGGATATGAGGATTTGTTTGGCTAAAATAATAAGATAATGCCTGTGGTATTATTGGATTTGAAATAGTTTTGATAGAATTAAAATCATCGTCATGATTATTTTGAAAATTTGAACATATTAATTGAGTATTATCTAAGGAAATGCAATTTCCTGTAATTGTAGTATCCAATTTCATTGGGTCATTCCATGTCAAATCAATCACTTTACAACCCGACCATCTCAGATTTTGTTAAAATTTGGTATTTAAGTTAGTAAAGTATTGTAAGTGACGAATCCAAAATATTAGACTCTTAACTCTATTAGAACCGGAGATATAGGGCTTCAAAGTGGCTCAGCTTGGTCATTTTTTGAAAAAAATGAATTTTTAAAATTGGGATAACTTTTATACTAGATGCACTATGTATATCTATTATGGCTCATTTTATAGCCCTAAGTAAACTCTTGAACGTATGTTAAATAAAATTAATTTTTAGTTTATATATTTTTCTTAAATTGCGGTTAAAAATTTGTGATTAATTTTTTAAATTGTTAGACTAAAATTTTTTTTCTAAATTTCAGATATTTTGTAAAGATTACCAAGAACTGTTCATATAAAAAATTTCATGTCGCGGAATAATTATGATCATTTATTATATGTATAATTGGATCATTTTCATATAATATATCACTTTTTAATGGTGTTTGTATGTTATTTGAATAAACATTCGTTTTCTAAAAAGTATACATTTTAAAATATTGTTTTAACTATGTAATGATATTGTTAACATACATCATGAAGTGGCTTAGATATACTAAATATCGATGGAATTGAATCTTCCTTCAATAAAATCTTTCCGGATAAAGTATGAATGAAACTAAAGTATGAATGAAACAAGTATTTTTAAAATGCCTTCCACAAATAATACTATATTTATTAGGCATAAAATTTTTCCTATTTATAGCCTGTAACCATTTTTCCAATAATTATTTGGATTTTAATGGAAATCTATATTTAAAAATAGGTGAATAATAATGAGTAAAATATAAGATATATTTATGACATTGATACAAAGATAGATAGTATATAAAAATCAATATAAATATCAGATCAGTTATTAGTAATATAGTATTGAATCAGTGAAAATTTGTTGATTGGCAGAGCCTTTATTAATATATATATGGTTTACATATTTCTTACAAATATTTAAAATGAAACTGTATCATAGTAAATATGTATTTTAAAAATGGCTAACTTAATATTTTATCCAGAAAAATATTTAGGCAAAGTTCAAAATAGAAATCTTATCAACTCAAGAGGAAGAAGCATTATTTGTCCTAGCAATAAAAATGAGAAAACTTTATATTTTTACTAAATAAGGATTTTTTTTCAATGTTTGTAGCTAATTAATGCTTTATGTAATAAATATGTTGCATATAAAAAATAATATATATACTTATGATAAGAAATATGTGTATTAGATTCTATTTTATTTGTTTTATTACAATTATGAACACAGCACACTCCCATTATCTAAATAAAATAATAAAAGTGATATTAAAAGATCTGTTTTGCATGTATCCTAAGATGGATTAACATAAGATTTATAAGTCCATGCAGGATTAGGTTAAACTATATTTTTAAAAATTAAAAGGTGGGTTAGTCTTAGATTTATTTTTTAAATATAATCACCTAGACCACCTTCATAAAAAAAGTCTTATGAAAATTTAAGAATAAAAGATACTATAAAATATTATATCATAAATCGAAACCTTTAAAACTAAATTATCGTAGTAGACTTGTTTTCTATATATTAATATTTCTTGCTGACAAATAATGGATAACCAAACTACAAAATGGCGCTACAGCTGATTACAATATGTGGACACTTTTATAATGCATAATGAATCGCCAATCTATAGTTATATATATCATTGTGCGCCTATCAATCGTTGACAATATTGTTATCTACTAAAAAAAAATTAAGTTTAAAATGACTATCGTTATTGTGGGTCTAATAGTCCAAATGCATTTTTTCTTCAAATTTATTGATTTTACTTATTTATATTATATATAATTAATATTACAAACAAATGTTTAAAATTAGAACTTGAAGATTTCGAAACTTTTATAATACTTTTTGGCACATTTTACATTTGGTAAGTATTGAATTAGTTCCTTTAATATAGGATGTTACTGTAAAATATTTATCAAATTTGGGCTATGGAAATGTTAAATCATCTGATTTTGAAATTTCAGAATCACATGATGATGATGAAATAATAATTTCCATGCTTATGTTAATCTATTAAACTAAAATATAAACTATAATATACAAAATAATAAATTATAATAATGGCATGTTAAAAAAATTGAAATGTGAAAACGGAAAAACATCTAATTATAAATTATAAGACTTTTTTCTCAAAATATTGATTATATAAAATTTTTAAATAAATAAAAATAAAGTGTTTTAAAATTGAACGAACGTTAAATTCGAACGCGTTCGTCATAAAAAATAGGAACGCGTTCACGTTCAAAGTTCGTCCAAAATAAAAGGAATGCCGTTCATCATTTTCTTCAAAAAACGAATCGTTTGCAACACTTAATATAATTGATCATCATTTACATCCCCGGCTGACAAGGTGTCATCTTTCATTTGAAATACTATTCGATTTCCTATTTGAATTCTAATGTCAGATGACAATTATGGACCAATATTACCTCCAAAATTAAAAGAGACATATTCAAATGAAGTTAAAATCATTTTGGAAGAAAAATCAATAGGGCCAAAAATTCCGTCTAATTTTAGAGAGGTATTAAGTAAACATTTTGCCAATAGTTATGAAAATAAATTAACCATTAATGAATTGGAAGAGGTGGAAGAATCATCTAGTGATGAGCTTGGCCCATCTTTAGAAAGTTATAAAAAAGATTACCAAAATGAAGGTTGTAATAATTAATTTATATTAATAGTCATCTCATTTTAGATGCTGATTTTAAGAAATTTCTTAGAATGAAGGAAAAGGAAGAGGTTAACCTAAGCTTTTATATCTGATCTAATAATTCCAAAGGATCAAATATTCAATAAAAGAGAAGAATGGATGATTACTTTACCAAATAAGCAAAAAACTTTAAACCCTCAATCTTTTAAAAAGCGTAACTTTGATACAGGCCACTTTATTGATGAATCTTGGACTGATACTCCTGGAAAAGTATATATTTTATTTTAATGAGTAGTATTATCTAATTGATAGAAAAGGATAAAATCTAAAAATGACTCAGTTATTAAAAGACAAAATATTGATATTTTGGAAAAGCATTACTCAGAGAAGCAAAAACTTATCTCTGAAATTGTATTAATTATATTAAATGTTTTAATATATATATATATATCTATTTAGAAGTTAAAACCATTAATTGAAATTCACAAAGACCTGAAAAAGCATAAAGTATATTTTAAATCCACCAAATATAAGCATTTTTTATTAATATATATTTTATCAACAATTTCATAATCAGAGATAGGTATTGGATTATTTTTATTTAAGATACAAGATACTTTATTTTCTATCTTAATAATTGCAGGTAATTTTTTGAAACTAGATGTAAGCTGATAGATTTGATCAATGATATCAGTTGTAAGAATTATTCTATTAGAGTAAATTATTGTAAAAATTTTTCTTCCTAACCTTTGGCTGGGTTAAAAAATAGTCTAAAAATATACTAATTATGGATTTATTGTTCAATTATATAAAAAATATAGGGGGATTTATGACAAATCGACCAGTGATTTTGCATAAAGGTTAAATAGATTGTATACTTTATACAAATTCAAATTTTAATGCCCTAGCTCAAATATATCCCAAGATATGGGCCTTCAAAAAGGGTATTTGAATCATTAAATATGTTTATTACAAATTATTTAAATATTTAAGTACCAATATTAATGGAGAAAATAAGAATTAAATATTTATTTAGAATTTATAATTATAGGAATAAAAAAAAACAATTATAGAGAGTGCTATCTATAATGATAATTAGAATTTTCCTTTATATAAGGGTACAAAAGTATGTATTTTGATATATTATAATGGTTATTTATAACATAGAAATATATTGGTAATAAACATACTCAATAAGTTTCATGGTTTCAAATGCCCTTTATAATTTATTTTTCTATGCTTAAAATCATAAAAAACTAAATAAAATTTAAGTTTTTATTTTCTCCATTAATATTTTTTTTAAATATATAAATCTATTGGTAATAAACACATTTCATGAGTTTCATCAAACGGAGGCTTTTGTATATTGTACTCTGTATCTTTTTTAAGGATACTTATATCAGTATAAAGATTACCTTAATTTTCTTGACAAATACAGATATTTTTTTATATTTTATTAAAAAAAAATACATTATTAACTTTGACATTTTTTCTATGAATTATTGCATTAATTTTGTTGTTTTTCTTTCTTTCCTTTCTTTATATTTTTAATTAAATTTATTATTATTTTATTTTTTAACATCAACTGTTTTATTCAAACAAGATAATCATTCAATTTAATTATTTTCTTGTTCATATTTATTTTAGTCATTGTATTAAAATTATCATCATCTTATTTTATAGGGAGGAATAAAATAAATTAATTTTGACAAACAGTATTTAATTATTAAATTTATTTAAACATGTCTTTTCCTTCTTCCTAATATTTTTTATTAATAATAATAAAGCATAATAACCTTGGGTTTGTGTTTCTTAATTTTATCAATTAGGATAGGAACCTTAAATTTGGATTGGACTATATTTCCTTGAGGTTGAATTAGGGCTGTGCTGATATTAATTATCGAATCGGATCGGCACCGATATATCGAGTTTTCCAAAAATATCGGATAGGGCCGATACCTGTAAAAAACCCGATCCGATCCGATTTTTTTATTTTTCTTTTTTTGTTATTTTATATATATTTATTTTACATTAATTATATTTTCTAAATAATTTTTTTTTAAACAATGCAAATGCACAACACCTCTTAAATTTTAATTATTTTTTAAAATAGATTTATAGTATTTTAAAAGTTTTTTTATAAAAATAGAAAGGAACACCCAATTATTTATTTTAAATCTTTTAAAATACTGCCAATTTTATTATTTATACTTTAAATAAAAGAATTTTTTTAAATATGTTATCTGAATTATGGAAGATAATTTTGCAAAATGCGTTATCTGCAGAATTCTAATTTCACGGGGAGGAATAATGAAAAATTCATTTAATACTACCAATATCCGTAAACTTTTTAATCTTATTTTAGAAATAAAAAAATTAAATTGAATGCATAAATCGATTTTTTGCATAAAAAATATTGATTTCTTAATTACATTTGGTTCGAAGGGGAATGGTGAAAAATCAATATAAATATCGGATCGGGTTTAAACCAATATCGGATCGGTGAAAAATATGTGGATCGGCACAGCCCTTAATTAAAAATAAATTATATCAGACTTATTTCTATAAGATAGTTATTTTATTTATTATAGTTCACTTAAACCAAGAGTAATTCATTATCATTATAACCAATTATTTAAAACACGTCATTGTATAACTCCTCATTATTTTCGAATTATGAAGAAACAATCAGTTAATTTCTACCTTCAACAAATCCAAGCAAAGACACTACGCATGATATCAAATGGTGCGAGTTAGTACTATCCCTATCAGACGATTATCACTAATGTCCGCTATTGACAGATTTTAAAATAAGAACTAGAGGTCCAATGTTTTAAAAAACTTAACCCGCCTGCCCAGCCCGTCCATAGTTTTCAAAAAATATATCCGCCCGCCCTGCCCATTAGTCAATTCCTTACCCGCCCGCCCATTAGTCTAAATTTTTTACCCGTTTTCCCCCCATTATTTAAAAATTTTTTTAAAATTTAATTTATTTCAATTTTTTAAGCATCTAATAAAAAAATTTCAGCATTACACCTCAACAAATTGGCAATTAGACCCGATTTTATCGTTTTGTTTAATTGAGAATTGTCTTTTTTAAAAATATTCTATTATTTTTTTTATTATCTATAAAATCTTTTACAGATGAACGATGATGCCGTTTACAGCTAAACAGCATTAAGTATCAAAATTAAGTCGAATAAGGACAACAATTTAAGTCCTTTCAATACTAATAAAACGTCATAATTTTATTTATTGTATGTTTATTCTTTAAAATTTCCGCAACAAAATATATATCAAAAAGAAATAGGAAAATTAATTATCAAAGATTTTTTCTTATCTGTTTAGAAATTTTTAGATCAATCTTTTTAATTTATGAGGGTTATTTTTTTCGGGTTTAAATTAAAAATATCAGCCAATATTTATTTACTTTTTATAAATTCATATGTATCATGCTAAATGTAAATTATGCAGTTGATATTTATTATATATCACTGTGAATAATTGATAATATATTTTTGTGCTATTTTAATAATTTTAGCCTAAATTTGAACTTCGAGTTACAATTATATGCTATAAAATCAGTACAGTATATATATACTTAGGAATATATGCAGTGAGTTAAAAATTTTGCAGAGATATGCTATTGCCAGGCTTGTTAATTGATCCTTTTAAAAAGATCGGATCCCGATCACGATCTTTTCAAAAAAAGAGGATCCCAGGATCGACCTTTTTTTAAAAAAAAGGATCACGATTTTTTTCTTATTTAAATCTGAAGAAAATTACTGATCGATGCAAAATTAACCAATATAAAAATAAATTATGTATGATATAAATTTATTGTAATTGAATAATATAATATAAGTATAATAATTAGAATATATATTTATAATTAAAATTAGCCTTTAAAAATAAAATTTTTTCTAAGTTATTATCATTTAAACATCAAAGACTTTCATTAAGCACATGATTAGCTTTACTAAACAAGCGCTCCACAGGAGCGCTTGATGGCAAAGGTTTGTTATATTCAATAAATATTTTTTTTAAGTTAACATAAATATTAAAAATATTCATTGAATCATCATTTGAATAAAAAAATTTATTAATGGGACGAGCATTTTATGAAGAATTTTTCTTAAAAAAGTATCTATTTCATCCATACATTCATTTGAAGCATCTGCATGTGGTTGATCATGCTATTTCTAAATGGGCAATTAACTTTTCTTTTACCAACAGATTTTGTGGCAGATTAATAAAAGCCAATTTAGTTAATTTTTGGGTGAATTATTGCTACCAATATGTTACTGTCATCATACAGTGAAGAAAATCTATATTAAGAAATGATAATTAATTTATAATACATCAATAGAGGATGTATTAACTTCTATATCTATAATGGAGGACATTATTAAAACCTAGAATTTATTTATATTATATATAATATAATTAAATATATAAAACTTGTAGGCTCTAAATTTAATTCTAGATAAAATTTAGGAAATTGTTGAAATATAAAATATGATGGAATGGAAGTTGATAAAATATGATGTTGTTAGATATTTTTAAAAAAAATAATATTTTAATATAATTTCAAAATATCTATTTTATTTATTGCATTTTAAGTAAATAATTATTTTTTCTGCCATATTTTGGGATGGTAAATAATTTAAATTTGTTTGTTAAATCTAAATTGTAATATAAAAATAATTTATAAAAATTAATAAATTTTACTTTGATTGAATATATGAGATAAATGTTTATTTTTCAATTGGCTAAATATAATTTAATTTACTATTTTAAATTTAATATTCTTATCATACATAATATGAGGTGAATATGAGATAAATGTTTATTTTTCAATTGTCTAAATATAATTTAATTTACTATTTTAAATTTAATATTCTTATCATACATAATTTGAGGTGAAGATAGTATTTTTTTTAATATAAGACAATAAGATCTAAATTATATAAATTAATCGAAAAATATGTTAATAGCAAATTAATAATATATAAGAAAGATTATATTACAAAATTTAATATAGAAGGTGGTTGAGTGGGAAGAACGTTTGCCTTTAAAACGTTAAGTCATAGGTTCGAATCCCGTGATGAAATTTTCTTAAAATTTAACATTAGAGATATATAGTCTCCATCAATTTATTTAGCATTAAGAAGATAGGAGATAGAAAAAATTAACATTAAGATGATAGGAAAAATAAAAATTAACATTAAGATTATGGGTCATTCCATGACAAATCAACCACGATTCGGCCGACCCCCTTCGATTTTTTTAAAATTTGGTAAGCAAAGAAAGGTCGATGTAACTAAGAAATAGCCAAAATTTTAGCCTCCTAACATTTATATTTTTGAAGATATTAGGGTTCAAAGTGTCAAAAATGACGTATTTTTACCATTATCTGCCTTCATTCAATTAAGCATATCTTAAAAACTACATAATTGTAAATAACAAATTTAATATCAAAATTACGTACAAAGATTCTACTTTTAGATAAAAAAAATTTTTTATTTTTTTCCCAATTTCCGGCCATTTTATTTAATATATAAGGACTAAAAACGATTTTTTGGAAATAATACGACCTTCAATTTTTTAAAAAAATTTAGTAGACATTATTAAACTCTTCTTTTATATTTATAAAAAAAAATTGGTCTGGGACGCGGCCATCTTCATTCTCAAAATCGATAAAAATGTTTAGAAAAGTGTATAAATATTTTCCCGAAAGGGGGCATCTTTTTATAAAATTAAATATTAATCAGTTTTTAATGGTTTTTCTTGGACTATTTGATATAATTTAAAGGATTATTCATCTTGTAAGTGAAAATAACAATAAATGGGGCTTTCATTCAATTATAGAAATTGTCTATCGATAAAAGAAATTCAATTTATTACTTTATTATAAAATTTTTTGCCCATATAACATATACTTAATGAATATTAATAAAATATATTCAACCAAGTTTATAGTTCTTGAATATATGAATCAGAATCTTGTTCATTTCATAGACGCCAAAAATAATATCAAAATTTTCTCTACTCAATTTTTTAAAATAATTTGATAATTTTAAAATATTACAAATATTAATTTATTATTATTATGAAATTATATACAAAATAAAAGTATTATCATAAAATTACCCAAAACAATATAAATATTGGATCGAATTTTCTAAAATCGGCATAGTCTTACTAAATTAAAATAACAATAAATAAGTGTTTCAATCAATAAAATAAATAAAAATTTTAAAATTGATTAACCCTTTCGCGCCCAGCGATGTCATTAAAATTTTTAATCAATTAATTTTTATATTTAAAGAAACTAATGGTTGGTACTTAGAGATATTAATTTATAAAACAATATTTATTATTTCATATTTTATCATTAACCTGTCAAAATCATTATTTTATTATGTCAAAATGATTATTTTATTATATCAAAGTGCAAGTATTTTTTGTTCATGGGAAATATTTAGGGCGCGAAAGGGTTTTATTCATTCAATAACACATACTATATGAATTCATTTTTTAATAAATTTCTTGGTATTTTGATTTCTATCAACACCTAACCCTAGTGTTGTTAATCGGCTTAGCCGAGTCGGCTCGAACAGAGCTCACCCAAATTTTGGGTCGTTTTTTTCGACTCTAACTCAAAGTTTTGGTCGTTTTTTACGACTTCGACCCGAGTTCAAGCCGAAAAAAACGACTTCGACCCAAAATATGGGTCGTTTTTTTCGACTCCGACCCAAGTCCAAGCCGAAAAAAACGACCTCGACCCAAAATATGGGTCGTTTTTTACGACTCCGACTCAAAATTTGGGTCTTTTTTTTCGACTTCGACCCAAAATATGGGTCGTTTTTTACGACTCCGACTAAAAATTTGGGTCGTTTTTTTCGACTTCGACCCAAAATATGGGTCGTTTTTTACGACTCAAACTTGAAGTTTGGGTCATATTTTTCGACTAAAACTTGAAGTTTGGGTCGTATTTTTCGACTCCAACTCAAAGTTTGGGTCGTTTTTCTGACTCAGACTCAAACATCGGGTCGTTTTATTCAATCCGACCCAAAATATGGATCTTTTTTTTTAAAGTCGACTTAAAGTTAGGATTGCTTTTTTTCACCCTTAACCCAATATCTAGATCATTTTTTTTGACCAAAAGTCAAATAACATTTAGTATATATTAATATTATAGGCGGGAAAGTTACTTAAAGCTTCTTTAAATTATAATACTCTGGATTAACTATTCATCATAGTTATTTTTTTAAATTTTTAAGTGAAAATGCACCATAGAAAAGAGCCATTTGTTATGATGGTTATTTTTGAACTTTTTTAAATGAAATAGATAAAAATATATATTGTAGACATGTTAATCAAAATTTCAGTGAAGATGTACCATAGATAAGTGACAATTGTCATAATCGCCATTTTTGAGCCTTTTTGAGTTTTTTTAAAGGAAATAGCTAAAAATATATATTCTAAACATGTTAAATTAAAAATTCAGTGAGGATGTATCATAGATAGGTGACAATTGTCATAATCGTTATTTTTGAACTTTTTCAATTTTTTTAAAGGAAATAGATAAAATTATATATTCAAAACATGTTAAATTAAAAATTCAATGAGGATGTATCATAGATAGGTGACAATTGTCATAATCGTTATTTTTGAACTTTTTTCAATTTTTTTAAAGGAAATAGCTAAAAATATATATTCTAAACATGTTAAATTAAAAATTCAGTGAGGATGTATCATAGATAGGTGACAATTGTCATAATCGCTATTTTTGAACTTTTTCAAATTTTTTTAAAGGAAATAGCTAAAAATATATATTCTAAACATGTTAAATTAAAAATTCAGTGAGGATGTATCATAGGTAGGTGACAATTGTCATAATCGTTATTTTTGAACTTTTTTCAATTTTTTTAAAGGAAATATCTAAAAATATATATTCTAAACATGTTAAATTAAAAATTCAGTGAGGAAGTATCATATATAGGTGACAATTGTCAT